TGGAAAGTATTAAGTATTAATATAAGTATTACTTACATTAGTACCAAAAGTGGCTTTTGTATTAACTACACTTGGGGTGGTGTTTCAGACTACTTAGCATATGATAATTAACGAGAGAATGCCATTAGCTCATCAGAGATAGAATTCCAATTAATTAGCAAATGAAGTTTTATGTTAACAGTGAGTTTCCAGTGAGATTTGAAAGTAAGCCTGGATCAGATATGAAGATGAGCGATCCCCGGACAGAACCAGGCACATGTGAAATGACTGGAGACAAATCCAGGCCAAGGGCTGCAGCTTATCAAGGATGACAGGGTTTGATGGAATGCCATCAGTGCCGGTGTCCTCATATGTAGCATAATTAGATGCAAGGTCTAGACGCTCCTGGAAGAAACAGACATCGGAAGAAACAGTGCATCGGGCCAAGACTCTAATTGAGAAAGCAGAATGAGAGCAAGCGCTCTGTGGGTTCTGCTTTGTCATTGAGGGTGACCTCTACCACAGAGGGCCTGCGAGGACTGCTGATACCTACATTGTCACTGTCTTTGATTTGCCTCCCAAGCTGAAGAGATTTCTGTCCTCTGAGGCAGCAGGTGAACAAGAGGTTTGAGCAACTACATTTGCTGCTTATGGCTCATAACAGTGCTAGGGATCCCATCCAGGACTTTGCATGTGATAGGTAAGGGTCCTACCAGGAAGCTACATCCCCAGTCCCTTGAGCGGTGTTCTTTGCACTATATTCCGTGGAAAGGGATGCTTCTGATTAGAAGAGGTGCTGTTTTCGTGTACTCAGTCTCACTACATAAAGCATCCTCTGCAACAAGCTCCAAGCTCCACCAGCCCGCATCATCTGCTTTTCTGTCAAAAGGCAGGATGGCCCACTCAGGCAGGTTTCTGGGGAGCCCACTCTTTGTGGAAAGCTCTACGTAATTAATAGTGTGTTTGTGGGGAGATGGTCTGCTGAACCTGACTCTTTGGGTACTTTCCATGCCCCGCAAAAGCCAGGTTACATGAGGATGGATGTGAAGCCCATTGAATAATATAGCTGGATAATTAATAGGACAAGGAGACAGCCCCATCTTCTTCCTCTTTCTCTCACATCTCCTATGACTGGGTTCTGGGCTTCCAAGTGCCTTTCCTTTTGTAGAGCCAGGGCTGTGGCTGAAGGCCTTTGAGCTGAGCCTTGTCTAGACAAAGTATGTTCCAGTCTATGTGGCCCGCTACTGGCTGTATTAGAACCCATTGAGGAGAACGTCCTTCCTCACCCCAAATGGCTTTCTCTTGCATGTTTTGAATAGAACTTGGGTATTTGGAGTTTCTTGGCCATCAGTCTGTCCCTTTCCTTGTATTCCTGTCAGATGGAAGAGATTCAGTAGTCTCAGAAAGCATATTCACCAGGGTTATTGCCTCCCCAGGCTTATAAGCTGGATGTTTACTCCCAGCTGGCAGAACTACTTCAGGAGGTGGGTTCTGGAGGGAAGAGGTAAGTCAGTAAAGATGTGTCCTGGGGTTTGTATCTTACCCCAGGTGCTCTCTGCTGCTGCTTTCTGCTCCCTTCCAGCCACGAGGTGAGCAGCCTCCTCTGCTGAGTATTCCTGCTGCCATTTTATTCCACTTCACAACAGGCCCAGAATCAGTGGACCATCGAGGTCTGAAACCATGGGCCAAAATAAGCCTTTCCTACTTTATGTATTTATTTTGTTTTTTTTCATCACCGTAATTAGAAATGTCGTTAATAGAAGATAAATAACGAAGACTCAGAATCTGGAGGGTAGAGGCCCTCAGCAGGAGAAGACAGCTTTTGTAGAGTGTGGCATCAGTAGATAGGGATTCTTTCCAAGTATGTAGGTTGTCCAGGACTCAAAATGCTAAACCATCTAAGAGTTGTGAGGGCTTGGGTGGGCTCATCAGCCAGCTTTGCCTTGGTGCATCGGGAGCCTCTCACTGCCACTTCTCTGGAGCTGCAGCCAAGGAAGTCAAGCCAGGAGGATGAGATCACTGTCGCCTTATTAATGTCCCACGTGCAACAAAAGTGGGTGGCAGGAAGAGCTCTTTCTGCAGAGAACACTCTGTCTTAATACTTATTCAAACGAGGACAAGCGCATTTCAAAACATGTGATATTTCATCAGGAGGCAGGTACAGATCCACAATGCATTCCCAGGAATTACAAAATCCACAAAGCACTGATTGCAGAGGACTTCTGTTCCGGTAAGGACAAAGCTCTGATGGTAAAAAGCAATCATGACTGCTGTGACTCAGCATTGCTGTCCATTTCTATCATGCCCGCTGTGTGTGTGGATTTATTATTTTGAAATTTGCCATTAAATCCATTCTAAGATGTGTCAGTGGCAAACCTGTAGGTAACAGTGAAGGGAAGAGGGAGTATCTGTTGCAATCAACAGTGCATTGAATGACGTTATTATAGAATACGGGCCATGGATCGTGATATCTGTTGTAATGAAAAGTAGGACATCAGAGTCAAAACAAGATGTGTAACTTCAAAACTGAGTGGCTTGTCACAGGAAATGTTCAGTGAAGTGCAGATCAAGAACGAATGGAAAAGAGGAAAACACTGTCCAGGGCAAACGCAGATCCTAACCACGTGCTGATTAATGACTTCACAATGAGGAAGTGAGCAAACACCACCAATCATGGTCAGAAACAATTCACAAATGAAGTTGCTAAGTAGTGAGAGCAACATGAACATTCAGAAAGTTAATGTCTGGCTTAGTTAAGGTTTCTATGGTTGTGATGAAACACCAGGACCAAAAAGCAAGCTGGAGAGGAAAGGATTTATTCAGCTTACTCTTCCCTATTGCTGTTGACCACTGAAGAAAGGCAGGACAGGAACTAAAACAGGACAGGAACTGAAGCAGAGGCCATGGAGGGAGTGCTGCTTACTGCCTTGCTTCTCCTGGCTTCCTCAGCCTGCTTTCTTATAGAGTCGAGGACCTCCAGCCCAGGGATGGGCCCTCCCCCATTGATCACTAATTAAGAAAATGTCTTAAAACTGAATTTTATGGTGGTATCTTCTCAATTAAGTTTCCTTCCTTTCAGATAACTCTGGTTTGTGTGTCAAGTTGACACAAGAGCTGCAAACACAATGTGTTAGGGTAGATTTTTCTCAGAAACACAAAATCAGCAGGATATTTTGATGGGTATGTACCTTGCATAGTGCTTTGCCAAGCTAATCTCCTTTACTTAAGGTCAGCTGCTTGTAAAATGCCAATCACATTTGCAAGATAACTTCACAACACCAGGAAGAGTAGTGTTTGGCCAAGCAAGTAGCTATGACCTAACAAATCATATAAAATTTAACTTATCACAGCCCCCCCCCCAATATGAGATCACCGTGAAGTACGTCCTGAAAACCCGTAATCAAAGCATCCCTGCTCACGATGAAGCGACTAACATTTTGATAAATTTGTTAGGTGTTGTCTTAGGTAAACATTCGCTGTGGAATTATTTATAATGTCAGTGGCAAAGCTCCCTATCCATATTCCTGGAGTAGATCTCTGTAGAGTGCCCCACTGAGGCATGAACTGTGAATATAATGGTCCGAGCACTCCTGGAATTAGATTACAGTCTGTGACGCAAATCTCTCTAAGAAAGAGAGCTCATTTCAGGTCACCCGATCTTGTCATATGAGCATGTGAAAAGAAGAACATCTGTCTAGGAAGAGAGACTGGTTCGGTGGAGCCTCCATGACTGACTTTGAGGATAAAGGGACTGTTTGTCAGGGACCTGAGCATCTCTTCCAAATCTTGTTCCTGGTACATAATGGGCGTGTCCATCTGTGACGGATAACCAACATAACAGACCAATCCTACTCCACAGGGACATTTGTGAAATGGGTTTGCATGCAGAGCAGTTGAGTAGTAAGATGCTATAACTTCGTTTTGATCTCAGTACATAGCATAAAACATACTAGTAAAATACTACTCTATTTTAAAATCTACGTTTCACTACTTTGTTTAGTGATCTCTTATAAATAAGAATAGTATTTATTGTATTTACAGTATTTAGCACACTTAGTTTCAACATTATTTCACTGCTAAAGTATTAGCGTCTTTGACTTTTGAGTTTGTTGGCTCGGGTGCCAGAACAAGATGCCACAGACCAGGTGGCGAAAGTAACAAGCATGTGTTCCCCACAGTTCCACTCTAGGAGGTACCAGATGAGGGTGTCAACTGACTGTTCCTGGAGAACATTCGTCTAGGCTTGTAGGTGGCTGTTTTCTCCTTACGTCTTCACAGACCAGGGAGAGACAGGGATGGAGTGACAAGAAAGCAGCCCTGTCTGGGGTTGCATAAGGAAGCTAGCTGAGCAGAAGCAGAAAGCAAGCTGGTCCTGATCCCTGCCTCAGTCCCTGCCTGAGCTCTTGCCCAGTTCCCTCCATGATGGACTGTGGTGGAGCAGCATAAGCCCCAAATAAAGCCTTCCCTCCCCAAGATGCTGTTGGCTGGCATTCATCAATAAAAAGCAAAGTTAAATAGCAAGTTCATAAAGGAAGGGCTTACTTTATCTAACAGTCTGAAGGTACAGTGTAGCGTGGTGGGAAATCATGGGGCATGAGATGGTCACTGGTCACGTTGTGGCAGCAGTCAGGAGAAAGATGGCTGCTGGTGTTCCGCTCCCTTCTGTCCTTTTCAAGCTGCCGGGATCCCATGGTATAGTCCCACCGACACTTAGGATAAATCTTCCTACTTCAGCCTAATTTGGATAATTCCTCACCATATACCCAGATATTTATCTCCTCAGTGACTGTAAATCCTGTCCAACTGACAATCAAGATTAATCCTCACAACCACTCTTTGCACAAACAGAAGATGCCCAGCAGTCAACCCAGTTAGTCTGAGCCAGCAGAAGGAAATGCCTTTTGCCTCAGTTTGTAACAAGAAGGTAACCTGAAGCAGCCCTATGCTGACCATCCCTCTTTTTACACTGTACTTTCCTTGTTCTTGCTCAAGCAACTCACAAAACCCAATCATTCTGCAGGGGTCAAGGGAGCACCATTCTGCTCTGTGGATGGGTGTTGCATGCCCCACAGTCATATGAGTTGACTGCAGCCAACTAAATCTTTACACCCACTTCATTACGACTTCAGTCTACACCATCTACACCAGGTACTCATTCACCTGTGTCTAGCCACCCATTCCCCTCCCCCGTTTATTATTTTCCTGAATCTACATGAGTTTCTTGAGCCCCAGAGTTGTGTGGTTTTGTAATTGGGACCATGTGGCCTCCACTTGGGAAACAGACATTGTGCTCTCCTCTCTGGTGCCACACATTTCTTTTTCTTTTCTTCCTTCCTTTCTTTCTTTCTTTCTTTCTTTTCTTTTTCTTTTTTCTTTTTTTTTGTGAGACAGGGTTTCTCTATGTAGCCCTGGCTGTCCTAGAACTCACTCTGTTGACCAGGCTGGCTTCGAACCACTGTCCCTGCCTCGAGAGTGCTGGGATCAACTAGATGGGTCTCTTGAATGCTGCTCAGACTGATTTATGTAAACAGTTATCTGCTAAGAGCACTCCTGAAGCAGTGAGTTTACAAGGTCCAAAAAACAACGGCGTCACATCCCTTGTCCTTCCTTTTAGGGTGCACTTTCTTTTCTACTGATTTGCTTAGCCAGCCTACAAGATAATGGATCCCACCGCACCATTTCCATACAGGTGTGTCATTGTAACAGTTTATTCCAGCCCCACCTCACTTTCTCACACTGCCTCCCCACCCAACCTGCTTTCTTTCTCCCATCTGTTTTTATGTCACATGTGAGTATGTGTGTATGTGTGTGTAGTTTTGCCTGTGAGAGAAAATGTGTGATATTTTCACTTTATTGCCTCAATAGCATCTCTTGCTTCCATCCTTTAGATCTGTCTTCCCCAACTCGAAGCTGCCCTCTATTTTCATGTCTTATATTCACTAAAGTAGGATTACACCTAAATCTAAATTTCCCACATAAGATAAAATGTGTTATTTGTCTTTCTGGCCTTGGCTTTTTACTTTACCTGATTTCATTGATTTTCCTATGGACAACATAATCCACTCTTCTTATGACTGAATAAATTGTACTTAAAATGTATACAGATATAATATATAAATACTATATATACACATCATATTATCTTTACCTTTCCATCCATGATAAATATTTAGGGTTGGTTCCATGTCTTGGCCGCTGGGAATAGCACAGCAAAAAACATGGACGAGCAACCAGCACAGACACATATTCCTCTAGTCTAGGCATACACCGGGAGTGGTAGAGCTAACCACAAGGTAGCTGCACTTTTAGGTTTTAGTTTTTGAACTTTCTCCCAGCCCTGTAGATGGCTGCTTTCTTCTTGCGTCTTCACAGACACTGTACGTATAAACTTTCACACTGATTTCCATAGCGGCTACACTGGGTCTATCACCCTCTCCCGAGCAGCAAATTAGGGTTCCTCTTTTTGCATGTCCTCATCAGCATTTATGGTCTTTGTTTCCTTAGGGATAATTACTCTGACTGCAAGGTGGACGCCCAGTGAAGCTCTTGTTCTTGTTTTGTTTCTTGTGCTCCTGGGGGTGAATCCAGTGCCTCGTGTATGTCAGATGAGCATTCCACTCCTGAGCCACATCGCCAGCTGGCCTTGAACCTGAGAGCAGCTTTTCTCAGGGTGGGGACAAAGAAGCTTCGTCTATTATTCTCCTAGCACTCTGGGCATCTCTCTCATTGCTTCTGGCTGCACAGACTTGCTGCCCTCCATGCTGCTCTGCAGATGACAGATGGGCTGTCAGGAGAAAACCGAGAAGTGCCCGAGGCCCTGAGCGGTCACCACCTTACCACATGTGACAGTGTCTACCCTGGCTTCAGCGACTGGCTGTGCTACTACAACATCCCTGCTTATGTCTTCCATGTTTATCTGTGAAGAAAGCATGGAGTTGCAAACTAGAACAAAGGGGACAGCACAATGCAATACAATTAAGACTTAGGTCCACTGGCTTCTTTCTGTATCTTTGTTGTTGTTAATTTTTGAGTTTTGCTATGCCCGGGGTGGCCATCTTCGAAATCCTCCTACCTCAGACTCTTGAGTTCTAAGGTTATTGGACTGCCTCATCATGCTCATCTGCTTTTTTAAAATTTGTTTTAATGTGACCACTAAAAAAATTGCTAAGGGTGGGGCATGGTGTCCCATGCCTTTAATGTCAGCACTCAGAAGGCAGACCTCTATACTAATTATAATAATTATTATTTAAATCATACGTGGATTATACCACATTCTTCTGGATGGAGGGGCCCTAGAGGACTCTAGCTGCTTTTTAGATGAAGCACATACATAGGATTTTAAAATACTTAAACTATGGGGGCATTACCAACAGCCTATACCCTTCTCCTAGGCCTTCATTTCTTTCTCTTGGAAGCATATTTTTTCTGCTAAAGACCAAAACCTCCAGGATTTTGAGAACTAGAGATAAAAAAGGGACGAGGGAAGGAGGCAGCCCCGGAAGTGCCTTTGCCATATGGTGGGGAGTGCAGTGAACAACTGTCACTTTCACACTCGCATGTGACAGGGAGAAAGCAAGTCACTGGTAAATTGTGATGTAGCAACAGCTGCCTCTGTCTGCTGGGGGGGCGGGTAGGAGTGTTTGGGTTGGGAAGTTGAGTGGCCTTCAGCAGCGGTGGGGTAAGGTTTAGAGCAAAAGACAATACAGACGCTCTAGTTTTGATTTATGTGTATGCGTGTATGTCTGTGTGAGTGTACATACCATGTGTGTGAGGGTGCTCATACACACCAGAAAATTCCCTGGAGCTGGCAGGGACAGGGTCCGTTCCTCCTGTCGATCACCTGATATGTGTACTGGGAACCAAACCAGGTTTTCTGGAAGAGTAGCAAGCCCTCTTAGCTGCTTAGCCACCTCTCTTGCCCCAAGACAGACACTCTGAAATAGAAAGGAAGCATGTAGTCAGAGCTGGCGGTGTAGTTGGCTGTCCACATCGGCAGGGGCTGGGAATTCCAGCCCGGTGAGAGTCAGAGAAGGGCAGTGAGAAGAGAATTGTGAGAACTTGCAGCCATAGAAAACAGAGAACAGAGTTTACTCAGGACACCTAGCTCTGAGGAGGCCGGACCTGACCAGGTGGTAGGCCACAGAGTGCCTCGGCAGTGTTCTGAGTCCGTTCACAGGAGCAGAGCTGCAGCACTGAAGCCATTCACATGCTGCCTGGCCACCAAAGAACAGGTGATATATTCAGTAAAGAACAGACTCTCTGTGTTTTCCTATGGACGAGGAGCAGATAAGCATAGCTCAACACTGCGGGGTGCGGCAGTTCACCTTTGCTCAGGACTCAGGAGGCTCAGGTTTGAACCTGAGTTCAAGGCCAGTCTGGGTTACAGCGTGAGACCTTGATAGGCAAAAAAGAAACAAGAAGAAAAAGGAAAAAACAAAAAACAGAAATGAGCCAGGCACAGTGGTACACCCGTTCAATCCCAGCACTTGGTAGGCAGAGGCAGGTAGATCTCTGAGTTCGAGGCCAGCCTGGTCTAGAGAGCAAGTTGCATACAGCCAGGGCTACACAGAGGAACCCTGTCTCAAAACAGACAAACAAAACACACACAAAAGAAAAAAATTGAAATGTGTCATTCATTCCTGCAGAGCTAATTTTCTAAGGGGTATGACAATGGCATTTCCTGGGCACTGATCCTCCTCTTGATGTAAGGACTTTTCCTTGGGCCGCCTGTAGATTCTGAGTTCACACATGAGGAACATCTTGAAACATTTTGGAAAGATGGAAAAGGTTCAAGTATTTTTCTTCCAAATGTGGCTGGAGTCTTTTCACACCTTGAGCACAACTAAATTAGGTCTCTAATAATGATAGTAATGAGCTACCCAGCAATTTCTAGGAGGTGGTTGGGAATGTGGGGGTGCTGACACAGGACAGAGACTGCTGTTAGTGGCAGAATAGGGACCAGGAGTCCAGGAGCTTTGAGGGAACTGTTGTAACAAGCAATCAGCCAAGGTATGTTACAGACATTAATAACAGCCTCCGCCTCCGGCTTATTAACAGAGTAGCCTGGTCCAGACACTTCTATCTCTGCAGACTAGATCCTGGTAGCCAGTCCACATGGAGAAAGATTTGTAAGTTTCCGTGTAGCAGGTAGAGAGAAAACAGAAAAATATGTTTTTAGTTTAATTTTATTTTTTTAAGTATGTGGTGTGTAGCATGTATATGTGGGGATGTATATGAATGCGCAGGTGCCCCAGGAGGCCAGAAGCAGACACCAGATTCCTTGGAGATGGAGTTATTGGCAGATGTGAGCTGCCTGACCTCTGATCTCTGCAACAACCCTCTTTCCAGCCCCTCATCTAGTTCTTAGTGTAGAGTGAAAGGACAGTGAGGTTGTAAGGGGATGAGGTGGGGGAGTAGGGGTGTGGATAGGGTTGTGGGGGGTTGCCCTGCCCTGCCCTGTACATATGAACATGGACGGGACACTAAGATGGAGTGTCTGGGAGTGGTGGCCACAGGGAACCGTCTTTCCTCACAGCTGCTCAGGGGTCCTCCGGCAGTGTTTAATTAGAAAGGTAGCAGATGCAGTTACACCTAACAGCTGGTTCGCAGCCCTTCAAAGTGCTCTAACACCTCTGGGAAGAGTAAAGGCAACAGTTATTCACATGGCAGTGTGGATTGGTTTCTCATGTGGCACAAGAGTGAGACATTAGCTAGGAACTTGGGGCTGGGGGCATACTGAGGGAGAAGAGAGAGGAGGTTGTTTGGAAGGTGCCAGTTTAACACTTAGCTTCGAGAAAGAGAAGTCTGAAGCAAAGTGTGTCATTTTCTTTTTTCAGCTTAATGTTTTGTAATTATTGCTATTTTATGTTATAATGGCAACTCTTATTCAACCAAATACCACGTTAAATCAAAAGTCTGTAGTTTCCCATCCCTATCCTGACCCGTTGCCGTTGTCAGTTGGCTTGCTGTTGAGTGTACTGGCTGTGTTTGCCATGTGTATGAGATTTCTCATGTATACAGCTAGTGTATACATGCATAAATTCATATCTAACTTCTTAGATAGCCGACACAGAAAGAAGATTATTTTATATGCTTAGTCATTTATCACGTGCGTTTTCCCAAGTGAATGCCCCTCCCTCCCTCTTCAAAACAGTTCCGTATAACCTGCTGTGCACACCTAACCTCCTGGCCCACCACTTCTCTCTCTGAAGTCAGGCTTTTGTGAATCTCCAGTTATTTCCAAGGGAAGATCATGCTTCCTAACAAGGGGATCAATCAGTAATTCACAACGCAGCTGTAACTGGGAGACCAGCATAAAATCAAGAGGTTAGTTTCACAGGCAACATTTTTTTTTCAGGTCTTAAAAACAATCTTGAGTGAAAAAAAAAATGTAGAGTGGGGTTTCACGTTGCATTAAACATAAGAAATATAAAATGAAGACTCCATTGATTGTGGAAACACGCAGACATAATAAAAAGCTTACCAAAAATAATGCCTTGAGAAATGTCTTAGTAGGCACGTATATTAATGCTGGTGCTTCCATTTCTGTAACAAGGGTGCATGGGTCAGCCAGCCAGGACAGAGCCCAGCCAAGCTTCTGTTCCCTTTTGCATCATGGGAGTGTGTACAATTCTGTTAATGGAAATCCCATTTGAAAAAGAACAGATAGAAGAAATTAAATTAGCAGGAATTAAAAATTCCCCATCAGTACAGCACTGCACCGGACATAAGCTTCTGGGGGCAATTGGAGGAGGACCCAGTCAACACCTCACTGCGCATGTTCCCTGTTAGAGTTTTATTTCGGGAGATTCAGGATCGATTTCACTTTGTGGGTGGGTATAAGTCATATTCATCATTCAGCCTCAACACTCGAAATCATAAATATTCCAAAAAGGTTCCGGGCTGGGAAAACATTTTGCTTCGTATAAAAAGCAAGATAGACAGAATGAACCAGCCGGGACGAGGCTCGCGTGTGACCTTGAATTTTAAATTTTATCAAGTTTCTATTTCATGAGCTCTCCTGGGGGAAAATGTGGAACAAGGAGTAATGACACAGGTCAGACCCCACCTGCCTCTGTGTCTGGCTCTGTTCCCATGAGATGTGAGTCCAGCCATGCTTCCAGCACAGCTGCCCTGGAGTCGGGTGCTGGGGCTGCACAGGCAGCCGCTATGGAAAACAGACCTGGGCGTGGTTTGTGGCTGGTACCCGGCCTGCATTGGCATCTTCTGCAGCTACCAGAAGTTCGTTTGCTTGGCATTTCTCTGCAGAGCATCTGAGCTCAGGGTTTTCTTGCATCTTTGCTGGGGTGTTTTGACTTGGACCAGCAGGCAAAGTGAAGCAGGGACCTCCCTCCTTCCTTTCCTTAAAGCGGAGCTGAGGGTAGTGTAAATACTGAGAATCCTCAACGCCCTTCTGAAGTAAGTTAACCTACCCCAAGCACCAGCTAGCCACAGACTGAAGCTCACAAACTGAAGTTGGCCCTCCTAGCTCCGCTCAGCCAAGGTGGGGTCAGGTGAGGGTAGAGAAAGCCTTTGAGCTGAGTCCTCAGGCTCTGGCGCCAATGGGGAAAATCTTCCTACGCTCTACTCTCTGTGTCTCTCCAACCCCCAAAAGTTGTCCTCTGACCTCCACATGACACAGGTGTGCCTGCATTAAAACTCTCCCCACTGCTCCCTTTAATTTAAGAATTTAAACTTGGAAGAATTCTCAAAGCCATTTCTTTTTCTTTCTTTTTTTTTTTTTGATCCTATTGTTTATTCTTTAAGAATTCAAATAATACAATTTAAAAATAGACAAAAGGTATGAACAAGATTATCAGCAGAGAAGATATACAAATAACAAGCTCACAAAAAGTTGCCTACCATCATTGGTCATTAAAAAAAAGAATGCTTTACTAAGACATTGTTTCACATCTGTAAGAACGACTATTTTAAGAAGAAAAAGGAGTAGCGAACGTCGGTAAAGATGGGGAAAACATAATGGTCAGCTCCTGACAGCACCCCAAAACGCTGACATTAGTTATTCTACAACCAAACAAGATGTCAATGAGCAGGTATATGTGTGAGCTCGTTTCTCTCGATCCTGTTGTTTTCACTTTGTCTCAAGTAGACAAAACTGGTCCTGAACTCCCCATGTAGGTAGAATGGCCTCAGACTCTCGGTCCTCCAGCAACACCCTCCAAGCGCTGGGGTTGCAGGACTTACCATCACACCCCATTTACCTGGTGCTGGGAATCAAACCAGGGCTTTGCACATGCTAGGCAAGCACTTTGCCACCTGAGCCATATTCCTGGGCTCTCAAAGCCATATTTCAGCCATTCTGAAGACTGTTTAGGTCTTTACCCCTAATGCAAAGGCAAATTCCCCACAGATCCTCAACTGAGCCCCAGCCGGGCACTCAGCTCCTTTGAATGTGGCACCTTTAGATCCCAGACAATGTCCAAACCATGTGGCTTGCTATCCTGATGCCCCACAAAGTTACAGACTACGGTTTGGTTTTATCTTTTTTTAACAAGTAGACGGGCCCATCTTACCTTGGGAGTCTGGTGTACATTCTGGCCCAGTGCCGTGACCGAAGGCACCCTAGTCAGCTTAAGC